AACGGTTCCCAGGGTTTTACTCCAAACTGTTCACTGTTCCCAAACCAAAAAAGAACACGCTAGAGGCTATATTTTTTTCATTTGGGCCCAGAAATTCTGCATGGAAACAGTCAGGTCACATTTCCATCAGTGAGGTGGTTTGGCCTCTGTGGATATTATGGGTGTGTACTTGCATGTCCCCATCTTTCCAGTGCATCAGAGATTTCTTTGCTTTGCAGGGGGCAGCCAGCACTTCCAGTTTGGGGGTCTGGCATTCAGCCTTTCTTTGGCACCTCGAGTGCTGACCAGGATACTTGCCCCTGCATAAGTCTTGCTACAGTTGCTAAGGTGGCGATCGGCACAGATTCTGACCAACAATGTAACCCGAACCGTCTCGTCTATGCAGGGGTGTGGAAATGAAAAAAAAAAAAACTACTTGTCTAAGGACTAAAGCGGGGGCCCAATCTACTTGTCCCTCATAACAATCTACTTGTCCTGATACAAAAAATAGTTTTACCAAAACCGTATTTAACTGTGCTAAGAAGCGCTTGTCATTGGTGAGCGCGGTCACCTGACTACGCTGACCAATGAGTGCTCACAATTTGCAAGCGAAATTCAAAATACATAGCGCAAGGCTGTGCTGAGCGGCAGTATGGGGTACAGATAGTACACCCGTTCCGGCAGAGGGGAAGTACCATTCGCCAAAAGGTAAGTATAGTAGGGGGAAAGAGGGGGGCCAAATTTGAGCGGGTAACTCTATTTTCCCAAATTACTTTAGAAAGTGAACTTACCCTTTAATGCACATTTGTGCATGTTAGAAAGCACTGCTGCCTGGCTACCACAATATGGCTCACAATGGAATGGGGCAGCACTCAGCGCACACTGTCACAATGCCCTGCACGTGCATTTATTTGTATGCAGATAGCGGGGGGCAGCGGGGTTGGTTTTAATTCTTAATTACATTTTTAATTTTTATTTATTTTATTATTATTTATTACAATTTTATTGCCATCACACAGGGCCCAACAAGCCCTATGTGATAGCGTTTGTAGGTGACAGGTTCTCTTTATAGAGCCTGCCCTTTAATACAAAAGATCGAGCACAGCATTGTGCTCTATCTTCTGTGCAGCCCGGGTTGAGACAACACGGTTGACAGACAAACAGGCTGCAACAAGTGATAACTTGTACACAAAGAGTGCCAGCTCCCCCGCTCTACATTTAGCCCTGCTTGCCCTCAGCTCATGCCAATCTTTAGGGCTTGTTCACACCAAGTGTGGAGCAGATGCAGAGCAGTTACAGAACGCATCAAAAATGCATCCAATGTATTCCAATGGTATTTTAGGCTCTAGTTCACACCACAGCATTCAGTTCCAGAGCATGTGGAAAAACTGCAGCATGCTCTATTTTTTCTGCACGCACGGGTGCCTTCAAAGCAGCCACTTAGCTGCTGGCGGCACCCGTGCAGGAGGGCGAGAGGATGCGGGGACCCACTAGAGAATTAGGAATTGAGAAATAAAAAAGAAAGAAAGAAAAAAACTGCAATAAAGATGGCCTCCCAGTGAGAAACAAAAGAAGCTTTAGGCTGGGCTCACACCATGTCTGGACCAGATCTGCAAACACAGTGCATTTTTCCGCAATTTTGCCACTTTCCGTAGCCGTTTTTTGTTTTTTTCCAGCTTAAAATTATATTTCAGGTGCTTTCCTGTGTGTTCCAGTACGCATTTATGCATTTCCATGCGTTCCAGGGTGTTTTGGTCCAGAAAAAATGAGACAAGCAGTATTTTTTTTGTCTGGTCTGGTACGGACTCTGTTGGTGTGGACAGAGCCCAGAACCACCATAGGGATACATTGGGATGCTTTTTTGGTCCGGGAACAAACTGTTCTGGTGTGAACAAGCCCTTAATATCACTTAAGTTCTCATCCAGTTCTGCTGAAGGACTTGCTTTCAAAGTGTTTTTTTGTGATTCTTTTCCTGTTTCTATTGGAGGACGTTTCTATTTCTCAAGTGCTGTCCTGGAAAATTCCTGAAAATAAAGTTACTGGTGATACTAATGCTAGATTTCCACATGTGCTGTCCAAGGTCTTCTGCAGAAGCACAAACTGGCAAGGACGAAAACTGATGGCGCAGTGGTTGGCCACAGAAACTAACAGAGTTATTCACAAAAGGGCGAAGTATTTGGAGAAGGCAGGAGAAGTGAACAATCTAGGACAACATAGCTAAACTGGAAAGTGAGCTGAATTAGAGAAGTTTTCCAATTCAGCTATTTTGGCCTAGATTGTTCACTTCTCCTGCCCTCTCCAAACTCTTCACCCTTTTGTGAATAGCCCTGTAAGTATAGCAGATGTGAAATCCATCAAGCTCCATTTCCTTGGCAGCAGGTGCTCTGGACTGATGACCAAAAATCTTAGAGTGAAACTGAAGCCGAAAACTTTTTTGTTTTGGATAGAGCGGAGAAGGATTAAGACTCCTGGCAGGGGTTTTTATTGCTGTCTGTGTCAAGGAGATTCACCCTCTCTATTTGTCCTGGTGACTATGATCACTAAAAAAGTGAAATTCCTCCAATGAGGACACTAGATTTGGTGACCTGCTGACCACCAGGAATTTCCCTCTCATTGAAATGATTTCCTCTAACTTCTTGTTGTGACGATCGGACAGGAAGCGAAGGGAAATCTCCCCACTGGGACACAGAGGGCACAAAGAAGCTGGCGGGTTATAACCCCCCTCTATCCAAAACTGAAAGAAAAGTTTTGGCTTCAGTTGTACTTTAAATATTTGGCACTAAGAGAAGTCAGTTTCCCCGCTGAAGGGTGACCAGTGCATTGATAAATGTCTGCAGGTGACAGTTAAACATGGTGGTAATTACTTCCAGGTTTCGGGCTACATTTCTGCAAATTTTAAAATGGTCTTCTCCATCATGGAATACCATCAGGCAGGCGTAATTTTGCTGCTGTGTTATAGGCAAAGGTTGATCACATCTAATGTTGGTTTGTTTTTTGTTTTTTCCTGGTTTCCATTGTCTTTGAAAGCATTCCTGTTTAAGGGCCGGTACACACCACAAAGACTGCGTTCTAGAGCGTTTGGCCTCTGGAACGCAAACCGGCCTGCTCTCTTGAGGGAGGGGCGCGGCGGTCTATTGAAGTCAATGGCACCGCAGCCACTCCCCCCGCCCGCAGTGCTATCGCTTGCAACGGAACGCATGGCACATTAGTGCCTGCGTTCCGGTCCAGTGCTATCTGCAAAAATAGTGCATGCAGGTCTGCGCTCTGGAATGCAGTCTTTGTGGTGTGAACCGGCCCCTTACACCATTGTTTCAGTGTCTTAAATGTCTGCACAACACTGTATATGTACCTGGGGGGAAGGGGTGGCAGCTATATGTCATCATAATGTTTAAGCCTAATTTAGTCATTTCCATTATTTTCTCTGTTTAGCACTTCCCCGATCTCTTGGCCTGAATGTATCTGTCACGATTGAATCCACTTCTGTCATGTACAAGCTGCCAATTGCTCCTTTAATAATGGGCTCACATCCTATTGATAATAAGGGGTAAGAAAATTGATTCTTTTCATAGTTAAGATGAAGTAATAAATGGAGTTCACATGTTTAAAGTAACAGTTGTGTCTTCAGATTGAAAAAATCAAAGCAACTAGACTTGCTAAAATTTTTTTGAAGAAGTTTTAAGAAAAATACAGCAAGTCCAGTTGCTTTGAATAATGTTTTACAGATATACCATGACCTGAATGAATGAGAACCTTCACAGACAGATTGGATTTGAAAGATTAATACATATAGCATATTTAGTTTGTTTTTGCAAAGTGCAGCTATTTTTAGCACCTAATCAGATATCCGTTGGTAGGTATGCACCGATACCATTTTTTTAAGACCGAGTACGAGTACTTTTCCTCAAGTACTTGCCAATACCAATTACTTATACCTTTTTTTTTTTGTCATGTGACAGTTTTTCGAAACAATACATACTAATGATTATAGGACAGCGGTGAAGTGCCAGGGCCCAGACGCAGCTGTAACCGCTGCGACTCTGGTAGTTCTACCACTGACGCCAAGCTGTAGAGGGACTACAAATCCCAGCAATACATTATATAGGTGACATGCAGTAACTAGCTGTAATTTAATTTTGCCCCTTACTCCTCTTGAGTAAGCCTCTGACATGCGAGCTGATCGTGGCCATGAAGCCACTTACTTTGGATGCATTGCTGCATCCAGAACACATGCATAATAGGACTTATAGAATGGGCATTAGAGGGTTAAAGGGGTTTTTCTTTCTGAAGTGGGAGTTGTCCTCTTTTTGTTGTTGTGGTTTTTTTTTTTAATACACTGAACTTTATGTAAAAGCTAGGAACAGCTTTGGCAGCTTTAGTGAGCAATTATTTATTTTCTTTTGCAGCACTCCCTCTTTCTCCTCCATCACCAATACAAACAGTGTTGATCTCCCTGCTTGTTTTTTCCTAAAGTTTCCACAACCCATACCAGTCTCGAGTACATTTATCCAGAAGATTCAGAACTGCACAGGTGAGCTTGGCTATTATGTTTGTCAATTGTTTTCCCAAGTGTTGACCACTCAAAAGTGATAGTGTTTAAAATATGTTGGAGAGTTATATGCCCACGATAATGAAAAATATTGTATTCTGGTAACTTTATGCGTTTAATATGTGTAATTATAGTATTCCATAGATTTTTTTTTTTTTATTAAATCGCATGCTTTCATTTATACCTTCCACCTGTCTGGGTTTCATGCCTTGCCTCTTCCCCTGGGCCTGTTCGATGCCTAACCTTACTGCAGCTGTAACATGTCTTAAGGTGCCCATACACTGCTCGATTCTCGTACGAGAATCGCGGGAAATCCCGCGATCGTACGAGAATCGAGCAGTGTGAACGGAGACGTGCGAGCGTTTCTACTTTACGGTCGCTCGTCTATCGTCAAACCAGCCGGGAATCGTACGATTCTCGGCTGGTTAGAACGGTGCTCGGAAGACAAATGCCGAACGGGCCGGTGTGCGCACGCGCACACTGCCCGTTCAGCATTGCGGTCATCGGAAGCCCGCCCCTCAGGGGGGCGGGCTTGCGATGATCGAGAGTGCGATCTGCCTGTCCAAGATAGGCAGATCGTACGTTTTTTTAATCCCTGTACAACCATCGCAAGACTAAGGTCTTGCGATGGTTGTAGAGTGTGTGTCCACCTTTATAATAGACACGGGTGGTCCCGCTGTACTGGATGTATCCAGCACACTTTCTGCTTAAGGGTCGAGAGATGCTTGCTGCACACATGCTGATAGTGCTGATGTCTGCAGCCTGGAGTCATGCTGTTTTCTACTGCTAAAGTCTTTATATGAAGGTTGGAAGCATCCTGATAGGTTGTTTGCTCACTCTAAACACTTGCTGTCTTTGTATCTGTTCAGTGAGCATTTTGTTCACATGTGGTCTGTTCCCAATGTAGTTTAATGATGTGCGGCAGCTAGTTGCAAACCTAGTCCAGGCAAAACTGTCACTGATCCACCCCCCTCCTTGTCCAATCAGTTGGGCCAGGACATTCCCTGCCCTGCAGCTGCACCTCAGAAAGGGACGGGGAATGCCTTGGCCACAACTGATTGGGACCAGAGGGGCTGTATGTCAGTGGCAGTTTTGTGCGGGCTTGGGCAAACTGTTCCAAAACCCACAGGAGGCATTTGCCATATCTAAGACCTCAGGGCCTTGATTGTTTACATTCAGACCCAAGAATTCCATATGAAATCTACCAGATCTGCTATTGCCTCTGTCCCTTAGGGAAAATGTGTAACTTCTGTGGATATAAAAGATGCTCACTTGCATGTGCCCATGTTTCCAGCTCACCAACACTTTGAGTTTTACTGTAGGACCACTGTACTGCCAGTTTATGACCCTGCTATTTGGCTTTAGTTCAGTTCCTTGGGTATAAATCATGGTGCTGGCTGCGGGATTGGTACTCTTGCGCTCTCGGAGGAACCCCATTGTGGGGTACTTGGACGACCTCCAGTTGAGGATAACGTATCTCTGAGTGTCTAGACCTTACAATGGTTCAGGTGGATCCTGAAACTTTAGAAATCGTCCCTGGAATTGACTCTTTGCTTGTGAGTGTATGGGTCTGGTCCTGGGCACATCTCAGGGAGGGAGTACTAAGCACTTTGTCAGTTGATGGGACTTGATCAGGATACAAGATTACTGTGACAACCAACATCTTTGAGCTACGGGTGATTTGTCTGTCCCTTCAGCGGTGGACCCACCTGTTGGAGGGCTGTTTGATCCAGATTCAGATAGAGAGGAAGAACATCTAAAATGGCCCAAAAGGATGTGGTACAGTGACCTAGAAAAGCTTCTAGTAGGCACACCGTGTCTGGATCTGCTGTCCCAAGAGCCATTTGAGCGTCCTTCTTCTCAGTCGCTTGCTTTCACAGCATTGCGGTTAATGTCCAGGTTCTAAGGGATAGGGGCATCTCTGAGTCTGTGATTCCTACACTGCTCAAGGCTGGAATGTCTGGTTTTTGCAAGGCCTGTCATCAGACGTGGAAGGCGTAACTCACTTGGTGTGTGCCCAGGGGCTCTCCCCCAAGGAACTTCCCCATGCAACAAATCACCTCCTTTCTACAGTTAGGTTTGGGCCAACCTTGGTGCTCTAAGCATAATCAAGGGTGAAGTCTTTGCACTTTTTGCACTGAAGACTTTTTGAGTAAGACCTTTGTGCAGGGGATCTTCCTTGTAGTTCCCCCACTCCGATCCCCTTTTCACTCCATATACCCTCTTTGGACTTCCTTTCCAAGACGTCCGTCCTGCCTAAGTCTTCGCTTTTTACCTTAACCAGGACATTGTTCTTTTATCTGACTCCAGTTCATCAAAAAGTTCAAACCAAAAGTTTAAGACTTCTTGTTTCCCTTAATCGATGAGAAAGAAAATACAATATTTGTACACACCATAAAATCCTTTTCTTGAAGTCAATTACGGAACACAGGTCCCATCCCTGTGTGTTTATAATAATGGCCTTGATACTGCTTTGCAACAAATCTCTGAGGCATGCTAGTAGTAGTAGTAGGGATTTTTCTTTGGGCTGGCCTAGAATTTTTTAGTTTGCTAATGTTCCAGTCCCCTTCCATTAGCAGTATGGTAGGTTTCAAATACATTTCAAGTCAAGAGCTTTTTTTTCTAAAGCTCGTGTCAGGTTCGTACTGCTATCAGGGGCTCCATTAGAGATATTTCCCCTAACTTCCTGTCCTGCTGACAACATTTTACCAGAAAGTAGGTAAGAGAAATTCTTCAATAGGGACAAAGACAGCAATAAATATCTGACAGGGTTCTAGCCTTCCCTTTATTTTACCATGCTTATGAAAATAGGATTTTTATACTAGCTCTAGAACCTTTATTTTGGAGTCCATAGAGGGCCTCAAGAAGCCTTAAAGTGTATGTCAAGCCAAAAAATGTTTTTCTTGGATTGAGTGGAAAGGGGTTTGAACCCCTTTTAGGTTTTTACTGCCACCTGGGGCTCCATTAGGAAGATTTCCTGTTTTGCTGGCAACATTTTGCCAGACAGGAAGTGAATTACAAAAACATAGAGAAAAATAAAAATGCTTTTCTTTCAAATTTAGATTGTGTGGAAAAAGTAGGTTTGGGAGCTTCTTGTGAGCACGATATTTTCTATGTATCATCAACTTTGTATCTTGGTTACAGGTATTCCTTTATTTGACACTCCTCCAACCTTTTCTCCCCATTATGAGTTGGTAACCCAGTACGAGCTGGCTAAAGATAAGGAGCCTGCACCTATGAACCATAATATGCGCTTCTATGCAGTAAGTATTTCTGTCCTCCTTACAGTGTTCTGTTTGCAGTTTGTTTTGAGACCTGCTTGAAGCGAGACGGTCACTTTTGCATTCAGAGCAGAGTGAAGATGTTCCCTGTTATCCCAGCTCCCAACAAGGTATACTCATCAATTTGTACCCCCTCTCCGCCTTCCCTCTCTGTTGCTCTACTGGAGTAGGCCTTTCAGGTATGGGGGCGGATTTTGACCTCCCTCATGTGACAGTGCTTGGGTCTGAGTGGCCAGTCCTAGGACCCGAAAACTGTCACGTTTGGGCGGTGGGGATGGGTAGTGACATTATCCATCTGGTTGAGCTTCTACATCCCAGGTTACTCAGTGTAGAATCCTGCAGCTGGGAAGACAGCAAGGTAGCATGGAATGATGAGTATACCTTGATGAGGGAGTGGGCTGTCCCAATTAGGCAGGTGACAGTGTCTCTTTTAACACATGGCTTGAGAAAATTACATGGCCACTGATTTGCCTTTTGAAAATGTTAGTTGTCTGGCTTTCATTGGATTTTGTGTTTAAAATTAGTAATATAGGGAACTAGCATCTGTACCTGAATCTCTTCATAATAACCACCTGTAATTCCCACTACACAGCCACAGTCACTGGGAGAAGAAGAGTTGGCTCACTAAGTTACCCAGGCTCTCTTGCCAGGGAAGGAGTGACCAGCAACCTCTCCCTCCCCAGATCTGCGATCAGTGAACCCAGAAGGCTTTGCTCTAAGCACTTCTGGATTCAGAGCCGTCAGATTCCCAGATATGGTGCCAGGTAAACAGCCAGTCATGCACAACCCTGTGCTTGATCTGCTGATGTTTCAATAAAGAGAACTATTCTCCTGCCCAGTGATATCACATGTTGACAGCCTGTTAGCACCCTTGTGATGGCAAAAAAAAAGTTAAATAAAAATAAGTGTTAAAATTATAATAAAACAAATAAAAATAACCTTTAAAAACAGCCCTATCACCTCATACGAATGCAAACGCATGCGTAAGGCGACTGCAACACACATGTTGGATATCGCCATGAGCAAAAACTTTAGGGCTCTCATTCCTTTTTAACTCTAAAGAATTTGCTTTGGTATATTTTTTCCTAATTATCCTGAATATATCGATTTAATAAACAGTTTTGCAAATATACAACATGAAACATTGTAACTGCCACCATTTTATTCTACAGGACTTCTGCTCTCAGAAAATATATAATTGTTTTGGGGTTATTTTCTAACAAAAAATTCCAAATTTTAGACTTTCGAGGGGGTAACCATGCCTATGGAAATTAATTTAGCATGCATCTGTTATCTGTCAGCCCTTCACAACTGGTTGGAGAGGGATGAGCCAACCAGTACTCATCCAAACCTGCTATTTGGACAGTGAAGAACAGGCATTATCCCTATGCTGTTTCATCCTGTAACTTGTTCACTACTCTTATGTCCCCAGTGTGAGTGCGGCTGTGTAGAAAATTAAAGAAAGCTAAAACTAGACACATATTCTTGCATTATTACTAGATTTATTTTAAATACATAGTTATTTATTAATCTAAATGGTATTTTCTCCATCATTTATTATGGAACACAGCTTTTTTCAGGAACCAGTAAGTTTATATTGCCACCTGCAGAAGGATGGATGCTAGGTACAACAAAATACCAACCTAATGGACAGGAACGACCTAGCGGCTAAACCCCAGCTCTGCTGGAAAGTTCAGTTTTTATCCAATCATTCACAGAGAAAGGTTACCTTTCACCTAGTTACTGCATGTTGTGGTTTTTTTTTTCTTGGATTTTCTTTCGTTCAGCCTGCGGGTCGATCGAAAGAAATAGAACAACGTATGGCCGCTCTTTCTAATAAGACATAGTTTCCTGTTACTAAAATTGAGAGAGAAACTTGAAAAGGCCTGCTAAATAGAGATATCTGAAAGGTATTATATATGTTTTTAAAAATAATGTTTAGATATGCTGTGTGAATCGCAACACATAAGAAACATAGTGGGCGTTTTCTGAATTTTGGCCCGTGAAAGTGGAAATACACTTTAAAAGTTATAGCTGGTGCCTAACTTTTGAGATTTAACTTTGCCTGACGGCTGTGAAGGCTCTGAGACGTGGAATTCACATGTCATGCTAAAGGAATACGAATAAAGATGATATTCTGAAGCAGAATGGTGTGCGGAAAACATATCTTCTAGATCAGTGGTTCTCAACCTGTGTAACCTCAGGACCCACATTTGACCTTGGTCATTAAGTTGCGACCCAAGTCACAGTGCAATAAAACCCACGGCATTGCGGTACCGGACGTTCCGGAGCAGGCGACTGTACTGTAATGTGACATGCTTCTACAACCCCCTTGCACACCCTGAAGAGATGCCGGGAGCCAGAACAAGACGTCACTCCGGTCCAGGCACCTCTACAGGACACTTGAGGGAGCTGTAAGCAATGCATATATGAATGGAGCTCCCTCACGGCCATAGCCCCAGCCCACCCCACACTCCGCATTTGAATGGCTGCTCAGCGCGAGAACTGACAGTGCTGTGCTAGTGGGAGGCTGAGAAGCCTCTCGGCTAGAAAAGTGGAAGTGACCCACTGAATACGGGGTCACGACCCAGTTTTGGGTCACGACTCACCAGTTGAGAACCAAGGTTCTAGATTGTATACTGTGGCGCCATCCACCAGTTGTTCCAGCACCCGTTGGATTCTGGGGTATAACGGTACAGTGTGCGAAGGGGATATTACAAATAACTTTTTAGGTTTTCTCCAGTTGGTGTCAATTTTGATGGCTCCTCCTGGATTGGGCAGACTAGCCCCTGAATTCCAAAATCTGCCTTAAAGCATAAGAAACTGACTACTCAGACCATTACTACTCTTTTTACTAGAGCAGTCAGTTCTTTATGGGCTTTCATTCATCAAGCCTCTGAGTCTCAAGTCTATAAGGTGCTGACCTGGTCATCCATACATATGTCCACCAAGTTTTTTTAGGTTGATGCGTTGTGGGGGATGGGCTTCACCCAGTTTTTTGTATGGATTTCAGCCCATCCCTCATGGGTAGTGCTTGTGGATTTCCCACTAGTTCCTGTATAAAGCTGTCCCTCAAATGCATAATAGACAAAATAGAATTTTTGCACTTGCAGTAAAATTGTTTTCTCTGATCCTGCCCCTCTAGTGTTATATCTGCTGCCTCGGTAGGAGTTTTTTTGCTCCTTGTCATGCTTGCTGAGCTCCCTAGCAGAGGTCGGTGCTTAGCCACCAGGCACTTTTGGCCTCTTGGGTTGCTTTTTTGTTTCACCTAATGTCATCTTCTTGCAGGTGGATATATAAACCCACTGGTTCCTGACTGAATTTGTGTCCCTCAATAAGCTCAGAGAAAATAATTTTACATAGAGTATGAAAATCTTTTTTTTTTTTTACTCAACACAAGGTTTTCAGTGCTTACTTTGATTCAGCAACTGTGTTTATTCTTTGCTGAAATATTAAAAAATCAACTAATCAAAATAGAACTTTTCCTTTCAGTCTCTTCCAGGTCAGCAGCATTGCTACTTCCTCAATAAAGACGCTCCCCTCCCTGATGGCAGGTGCTTGCAGGGGACGCTGCTGACTAAGATTCCATTCCAGCACCCTGGACGTGTTCCCACAATCCTGAATCTCATCCGGCATCAAATGGCCTGCAGCACCCTAATTGGAAGTTGTGTGAAGCGTACCATTATAAAGGAAGGTACGGTCCCATTTCTGTGACTAATCGTTGCTATATTTAATAGATATAATATTAAGTGTAATTCCCGCCTCCTAATATTTCTTACTGCAATAATCTTTGGATTGTGTAGATGGAATATACTTATGTGCCAGTGGATTTCAACAGATGAAAATTGTTTTGTTTTGTCTTTTCAGATTGCCCTAACCTTTTGCAATTTGAGGTTTCCCCTCTGTCTGACTCCTGCATCAGTATCTCCTTTCAGCATCCAGTCAATGACTCATTAGTGTGTGGTAAGTGTTTGAGGCATGGAAGGATCTCTGCAGGCCCTTTTATTTTTTAATGTCTTGTATTACAATGGAATACACTAGGGCTTTTTAAATAATGGGACAGAAAGGAAAGGGAGCCTACCAATAACATTATAAGTAAAGCAGTCTCATAGCTAATGTTCAAAAATAGCTCATACCCTGTGCCTCTGGTCTCTTGGATCATTTATTTAAATTACTTTAGAGAAGAAAAAAATAATTCTGTTTCTTAGATAAACAATATGGATTATCTGACTTTCATGCCATTATTTTGGCGCTGGTACTTCACAGTGTGGGATTGATACATTTGGCACTGATAAGGTATTAATTTTCTCAGCCACTACTCAAGTTAACCTTAGTGAGTTGATTAATGTTTAATATATCTCTAAACCCCAAACTTTTATATATTGCAACCAGTCCTTAGAACGTGGTGGCTGAATTAGTATCCTTTTTTCCTTCATTTACACCTGGTGCAGTGGGCCTGGTGGTAGGGATCCTTTTGGCTTTGGTCTGTGAGTACCTTTACTTGGCCTCTCACTTTATGATGGATGCAAAGCATGGGGAGAAAGGAGCTTTGTAGCTCTACAGCTACTAATGGACATGGGGGAACCAGAAGTTTCCACCGGGGATCTTGATTCAGAAGACCTGTTTGTTTCCCTTTTAGGCTCTCTGCCTCCTTTTAATGTGTTTATTGCCTTGTCAGGGTTACCCCACTATTTTGCAGCCCCCATGGGACAGATTTCTGTATTGCTTGAGTCATCCGGCCTTACAGGATATAACTGCAGTCCTTCTCCTTTCCACTCACACTCCCTGTCGGAGCCCCTATCACCTTTATGCCTGATGAAGAGAAGGAAAAAGGTGTGGCGGTTCTTACCTCCTCAGACTCAGACATTTTCTCACAAGAGAAATCATCTTTGGCAATCCTGTCACTAAAAATGCTAACGCCATTTTGGTTCTCATTGGCAAGGTGCAAGAATGTCTAGCCAGTGATCCATCTGTACAGGCTCTCCCTAAGGTCACCAATATGGGATCCCTTAGGAAGAGGAGGTCTATTAGAGGAAGTGCTCTATGAGAATTCGCAGCATCATGGGAAGTTATTCCTTCCTCCAAAGTGATTCCCTGGAGAAAGCATTCCTCAAAAAGTGAGTGGTACTGGAGGTCGATGCTGCTATTTCATATTGCAACATGCCGCTGGCAGTGGAAGACATTCAGGCCTTCAAAAAAATAGTGAACAAGCACTTTGAGGGCTTGTTCAGAGCTTCCTTGGCTCTGATTGGGCCTACCCTGCAGCCTGTAGTGGCTTTTATGGAAGTGTGTCAGACCATAGCTACCTGGACCAAACATATGGCCCATGATTCAGGTTCCATTAGAATAATTAATTTAAACTTTTGCTGGTGGCTCTCTGCTACTATAATGACAGGAACAGGAATCCTCTACACAAGAGTGCTCCCTCTTTTTCGGCACACAAGTGGTCCTTCCATTCAAGAGGAACCTCTTCCAAAGCCACTTATGCCCCTAAAATAACCACCTCAGCTGTTTTCAAGTGGCCTTGACATGCCAAGATTTCAAAGCCCATGAACATGTCCACTTTGTCTTGAAGGTTTTCCTCCACCTGCGGATCTCAAGGTGGGAGAACATCTTTTAAACATTGCAGACTTGTCTGCCGTCCCTACTGGCCTTGGTTGTTTTGATGTCGTTGGATTCCTACGCACCTGGTGTCGACGCCCCTGTGGTCACAGATCATGTCACCGCCTTGCCAGAGTCGCGTTCCGACAATATGTATGGGTTGGGGGTCTGGCGGAGCTGCGGGCGGTAGGACTTTGCGGTGCTATCTTGATCCTTGCTGCTTGCTGCAATGTGGACTAGTCAGACCTTTGGCGGTCCCTTTTTGGGGGCCCGGGGCACTTTTATATTTGGTTGTGCTTCCCCTTTAAAATCTTTATTGGTGCCGGTTCTCTCCGCTAATAGGAGGTGCAGCTCCAGCCTGTTTGCTGCCTACTGCTGAGAAGGCTGGCTTGCTGGGGTGCAGAGTGTGTGACAGACCGCGGTGCTGGGCATGCTTTGCACTGGGGTCCCGTCTGTCCTTCAGCGACAGGCGGCCGCTAATTTAGGCCGCGACTTGTGGCCTACTATGGGGACGGCCTTATGGGGAGCCCTGCTGTGGTCCAGGTGGGGGTGGACCACGGTGCTGGACATCAGATTGTCAGCCTGATGAGCAGAGGGACTTGTGTGAGGCGGCTGGCCACAAATTTAGCCTGGGGCTTGCGGCCTAGGCGGGGAGGATGATTTGGGCGGCAGCCCTTATTGATTGCTAGGGCACTTCCTCCTGTGCGCTGAGGGGCAGGTTTTCACTTTTGGCGTGTGTAAGGGGAGTTGTTTTTTGTCTGAGGGTGCCACTCCAGTTTGCTACGTGCCTCGTGTCCTTCTCCTGCAGGTAGTTCAATACCCTGTGGTTCCAGATCTTTGATCTTCATCACTGTGTCCTTCAATGAACGCAGAGAAAAGGATTTTAGGGTGAGTACAAAAATCCTATTTTTAAAAGGCCCTTTTGGGGCTTCCTTTTCGGGGGGATCATCTTTTTGGAGCAATGTTGGATTATTAAGGATCTTACAGGGAGCAAGAGCACCTTCCTGCTGCAAGCCAATGAGTCTAAAAACTTGCATCACAAGCTGGGTCCTTCTTTTTCTGCTCACAAACATCCTTTTTAGTTTCCAAGGCCCCTCCGTAAGCCCTCTCCGCTGTGTCAAAGTACCCTAGCATTCAAAACATGCCAAGTCCTCTGAGAAGCCTTTTGAATTTCGTCAGACATCTTTTGAATTTCACCAGTCCTTGGCTTTCTCATATGTATGTTAGCTTCTGGCTCGCCCTCCGTACTGTTTTTTCGCATCCAACCTCCAGTTGTCTCCACAGCGGTTCCAGGATCTTCGCAGGGCAATTGCCGAGCTTCTTCTGTAAGGGGTGATTGTTCCTGTTACCCCTCTGAAAGGGGATTTTATTTACATTTTTTCAGTCACTTCGATTCCAAGGCTCTCAGCTGTGTCCTCACACAGATGGTTCCATTTCGCACTTGCATGCAGGTTCTGGGTCTGATGGTGGCCTCCTCCAATGTGTTTCTGGCCCAAAATCATATCCTGATTCTCCCATTGGAGATTCAGAGTATGATGCTGGGCTGGCACCACCTCTAAGAAGGCCACCATCAAACCCAGAATGGGAAATCCTTCCACTTCATTGGACAGTGGTGACAACAGATGCAAGTCTCTACATATGGTGAGGTTACTGGGTCAGTTCTCGACCTAAGGTCGATGGACACTGCCAGTCAACCAGTGAAACTTCGGGTGATCCGTCAGTTTCTTCGCCACTGGACCGTTCAGTTGCAGGGTTGACTGGTCCGGATTCAGGCAGACAATGCCACAGCTGTACATAGACCCGCAGGGGGCACCAAAAGTGTGGGCACCACATTGAAGATCTCCCACATTCTTCATTGGGCAGAGGAGCACATTCCAGCTCTCTCTGCAGTATATATTCCGGGGTTTGGACAACTGGCGAGCAGACTACATCAGCTGTCAGACCCTGGTTCAGGGAGACTGGTCCCTTCACCTAGAGATTTTTTGTCTTCTCTGTCTGCATTGGAGGGACTCCGGGTGTGCACCTCCTGGCGTCTCGATTCAATCTCAAGGTGGGCCAATTTGTGGCCAGGACGCAGGATCCATGGTCTCTGAAGTTTTTGTCTCTTTTGCTTCGTAGGAATAATGCAGAAGGCATTCTGGTCATTGTGGATATTTTTGTGACTCCAGACTGGCGTAGCAGGCCTGATTTGGCTTATCACAGGTGCTCTCTGGCGTCTGCTGCTTTGTGCACACCTTCTGTCTCAGGGTCCTGTCATCCCCACTTTACAGTTGCTGGCTTTAACAACTTGGCTGTTGAGAGACGGGTTTGTTGGAGTTTGTGATTCCAAGCATGCTCCAAGCTCGTAAGGCTATTTGCTGTAGGATTAGTTATCATATGTGGAAGGCCTTTTTCGTTTGTTTCTCTGCGTTCCTTCTTTTGTGGCCAGGATCCTGGACTTTCTTCAATGTTGAGTTGACCAAGGGTTGGCCCTTATAATGATTAATAGTCAGAATTCAGCTCTTGCCATTCTCTTCCAACGATCTTTAGCCTCCCATTCACTGGTGTGTACTTTCGTTCAGGGAGTGACACATGTTGTTCCTCCAGTGCGGCCCCGATGACGCTGTGGAATCTCAATTTGGTGCTTTCTGTTTTGCAGGAGTCCCCGTTCGAAAATATTTATGACCTTCCCTTGTTGACTGTATCACAGGTTGCTTTTTTGGTTGCCATTACTTCAGCACATAGTGTTTATGAATTGGCGGTCTTATCCTTCAAGTCCCCTTGTCTTGTTTTGCATAGGGGTAAGGTGGTGCTTCACCCTGGAACTTCTTTCCTCCCTATATTTAAAAAAAAAAAAAAAATTATATTAGACATTGTAATTAGTTTCATGTAAGGATGTCCTGATACCATTTTTTCAAGCCCAAGTACAAGTACTTTCCCTCAGGTATTTGTCGATACCAATTGCCAGTACTTTTTCTTAAAGGGACAAGTAACATTTTTTCTAAAACAATACAGACTAATAATTTTAGGGCAGTTTCTGACCAGGGCTGTGTGCAGGTCTCACCAGAGCAACATGCAGATGTCACCAGGGCTGCGTACAGGGGTCCAGTGGGAAAACTGTCCATTACATTGGTAGCCATTGAGAAGATTGCCCCTAACATTGGTTATCGCTGAAAACTATGGCCCTTGCATTGGTGGCCAGTGTGAATAGTGCCCCTTAAATTGGGGGCCAATAGGATAAATGGCACATACACTGGTGTCCATTGAGAAGAATACTCCTTATATTGGTGGTCAGTAGGAAGAATTTTCTTTACATTGGTGGCCAGTAAGAAGAATGATCTTTACAGATGTGCTCACTTGGGTTTATGTTATGCACTACTGTTGGGCATCTATACCATCTTGCTAATATTTTGAAATTCCTCTCCTTCGTTTTAACCGCCACACTCGACTTAAAAGTGTCTCGCTTTGTGACCCCTTGCATGCGATTTAAAAGGGGCAGAGATATTTTCCTGGAGACATAGAGAAATATAGGTTTACTTTGTTGTACCAATGCAAATCTGAAATTGGTTTTAACTGGATTTCGTCTATTTGCACTAATGAATGATGTTTACAGGTTACTATCACTTACAGGTTTAAGTTCTTGTTTTTGTAATATAAAACACAAATGGTCAATTTAATGTTATGATATTAATGGTCTATATTCCAATAGTAAATCTAACATTGTCTTTCCTGCAGTTGTGATGGACATTCAGGACTCCACCCATGTATCCTGTAAACTGTACAAGGGTCTGTCTGATGCTCTTATCTGTACAGATGATTTCATCACCAAAGTGGTTCAGAGGTATGCTTGCACATTTTGATTTTAACCATATGTTATCAATCCTGTCGTTCTGTCAATGGCCCTTGCATTTGTGTCCAATGGGATGAATGACTCAATGCTCTCAACCTTTTCCAATCAGGGAAGACATTGTATTAATTGCAAAAAATAAAAGGCATTTTCTGGATTGGAGCGGTGATAAGCGAGGGACTCCCTGTGCCCAGGGTGCAAAAGGGAAAGCTGTTAGAGCCACTCCCAGAAGATCATGGCTATCACTGCATGTACCACAGACTACTACAGTAATTTTCAGCAGCCCTACAGATATCAGATATGGATACTTACATTGAGCCAAGCTAAACCAATGTAAGTGTCCATAAAAGGATTATTCTTGGAGTTCCACTTTAAAAGCCCAAAACTAGGCATGGGATCCCCCCTCCTCCTGTATACATATAATTTTTTTTTAGGTGTCTTCAGTCTAGTCCCCTTCCAGTGAGCAGATGCTGAATGCCATGTAATGAGACCTGGGTGGGAGGGAGGCCCTTGACATGAAGGGCTCACAGGCGTGGGGTAGAATGACATTTAGTGTACTTTAACCTGAAGAAGGAGTAATGCTCGATAGATGAGTTTGTAAGGGACAGTGACAGATGTAAGGTAAGGTGAGCTGGGGCTGTTTTTTGACAGTTATTGGATTTTTTGCATAAGCTGAACTCAGGCTTTAAATTGTTTTTCTTTCTTGTGCACTGAGGGACACAGTATTTTATACTGAGGAACCCTAGGTTATGCTGCTGCTTACAGAAGGATTGGACGCTATGCCAAAACTGAAGGCCAGCCCATAGGAACCCATCTAACCATCCTGTCAAGTTTTGCTTGCTAATTTCAAGGAGGATGGCTGCATTTTTTCAGCTTGGCTGTTCTCACCAAGACGTTTGGTGAGATTTTATCTTTAATCAACAGCTGCTGGTAGTTTCAGACTGGTGTAAATCCTGGAAGACATCAAGTGCAGGTTTTCTCAATTCCTCCCTTTGGTGATCTCACTGTAACAGTACTACATTGGGCCTGTCCCCCCTGACATGCCAGGATGTGGCTTCTTGTAAGCACAGGGCTCGGCAACATTTGCTCTGTAAGTACTGGTCTAAAGATTCACGACAGCTACAAATTTAGAGCCTTGGCATTTGCATTGTTTGACCCTGTCTCTATAAGGGTACGTTCACACCAGATGCAGTGCATTCCGGTTCGATACTCGCCCGCACGGGATTGCAAGGCACATTATGCCTGCGGTCTGGTCAAAATGCTGCAAGCACTATTTTGAATGTGCTGTGCGGGCGATCGCATTGCGGCCGCAGGGCGTGGCTACGGTGCCATTCACTTCAATGGCCTGCCATGCCCCAAAAAAGTGAGCCGGCTGCAATGCGATGCAGTGCGTTCCAGCCGGAATCGGACGGGAACGCACTGCATCTGGTGTGAACGTACCCTAAGAGTCACTTCCCTAACAGAGTTGAAGGGATGGAGTTCTGGCCCTTGCTTTGCTTCCTTTTTCTTCTCATGTGGACTCTGAGCCAATCTTCTCTCCTGCTTCTCCATGGAGAGTCATCGTGTGGTCATTCATCTTTCCAGGGACACAGTACATCTTACTGGGTCATAATCTGACACCTTCAGGGACGGTTGTTTACCGCTTGACCATTCCATCATACTGTTTGGTTGTGGGCCTGGTCATGCAATGGCTTTCCTGGTAATCTTGAGTACCCCGTAGGGGATTTGGGTGTGGCACATGGACATACTTTATGAAAGAGTTTATTCCTGTTTCCTTTTGCCAATTGCCTTTCTTGCTTGATTGCTTGTGCTAATGTCTCACACAAGATGGAGGGCAGGTTGCAGAGGCAGGTGATCGTATAGCACAATCATACTTTACTGAATGTTCTGTCTGCAGCATCTAGTTAAACTGCAACAGAAAAAAGCTTGTTTTTTGACACCTGTACACTAGCTACCCAGTTGATTGCTTCTGCACCTTATTGTTTTCTGCAGTGCAGCATTCTAATTACTTTGTTGCAGATGCCTTCTCCTCTCCAATTGAGGGGTTTATGTTGCCTCTTTTAAAACTTGTGGCACAACCTGACCATAGCTGTTTTAAGTGCCCACTTCTCCGTAAAGTAGAGCTCAAACATGCGGTACCTTCTTCTGAACGGGCGTCTAAGGCTCAATCCTGTTCTCTTTCAGTGATGAGGATACCCAGAGCAACATTTCCTTGTTCTGTCTAAACAAAAAAGAGGAACAGTCTCTCTGATTATTGAGGTGGTTTGCCCGGCCCCTAGGTGCTTAAGAACACATTTAAGTTGGAGGATTCATCTGCTCCCTCCTTGAACAAGGTGAAAGACCTGGCATCTCGTTAGGCTAAATGGTTTCTTAAGGTGTTTCCTCACCTCCTTGTTTGACAACTTTATCTACAGGGATTTGGAAGCACCTGGACATACCTTTCCTTTCCCCCAGGTGAGCTTTTCTGTCCAATTCCTCTTGGTGGAGGACTTTGTAAAAAAAAACGAATTTCCTCACCTGCAGCAACTCCAACTCCCGCATCATGTATACACTTTTTTTTAAACATACTAGGAACTGATATTAGTAGTAGTTTTTTTCTTAAGCAATTGATTTTCTTTCTTGAGGGAAAGAGCATATTATACTGATGAACTGTAGGTTATACTCCTGCTTACAGAAAGATTGGACGCTATGCCAAAACTGAACGCCAGCCCATAGGAACTATAATCCCATCTCTAACCATTCTGCTAAATTTCGCTTGTTGAAAAATGAATTTTCCCACCAGCAGCAGGCGCACTTATTTCTCACCTTAACAGGGCTCTTAGTGAAGGATGCTCCATTCTTTAAAGACTCTACATACAAAGAACTTGAGCTCTTCTCCCACTCCATGTGTACACTGGTGGGTTCCTTATTGCAAGCTGTATTGGCTTTGGCCTTGATCACCAAGACTCTTGTGGAGTATACTAAGTCCCTGATCCAGGATTTGGAGGCCACAGATGTAAATCCAGGCCTCCATCCCATTCTGGACTTTCAACGTCTTTATCGGCCCAGCAAATTAAAAGTGAAATGTATTTAGTCTGTGATAGCCTATCTTCACTTGGGGGACTTTGTGACGTTAGTAGACATTAGGGTTGAGTACCTAAACATCACTATTTTCTCAGATCATTAGGAGCTTCTCTGTAAGGAACAAATAGTACCAATTAATTGACCTCCCCTTCAGCTGGGGTCCTCTGTTCCAACACTATTTGATGCTTGCCCTTCTGCGAGTAAAAGGGCATACCGATCAAAGGTTACATGGATCACCTCCAGTTAAGGGAGCAGTCATCGTTGGACCAACGTCCATAATCACTCTTCAGACACTAGAAGAGTTTGGATGGCTGGTAAAGGTATAGAAATTGTAATTGACTCATCCCCTGGGGTATCTGGGTCTCACCCTAGACACCAGCATAGCCAGAGTCTTCCTTTCTCTGAATAAACTGGTAAGACTTTGGTCTTAGATTCTGCAACTTCAGTCGTGCAGTTGGTCTACATTTCAGAGGTGCATAAGTAATGGGACTCATGTTATCATCCTTTGAGTGTATAAATAGTTTGCCCAATTTCACACAAGAGCCTTGCAGAGAAAAACATCTTATTAGATCATCCCTGTCATTGGGCAGGAAGGTCTAGTTAGGTCTTCCTGCTAGGATATCTTTATTGTGGTGGCTAGCAGAGTATTTAGTGTGACAAATAGGGGGAGAGATTCCCAGATAATATCATGTGGACAATAGGGGGAGAGATGCTAGAAAATATGTGGGTTGGGGGTGTGAGCTGGTGGAAAAAAAATGTGTGGGTGAAAAAAGGGGGGGGGGGGGGGGGGGGGGGGGGGGGGGGGGGGGGGGGGGGGGGGGGGGGGGGGGGGGGGGGGGGGGGGGGGGGGGGGGGGGGGGGGGGGGGGGGGGGGGGGGGGGATTCGCCAGGAAAAGTAGTGTGCAACACATTACGTTTAACTACTAGAAAATGTAGGGGCAGTTGTGCAAGGGCATGTACTGCAGACAGTAGGGAGAGGTGTCAGAGCACAAAGTGTGGGTTTGGCATCGGGCTGGCAGGAAATGTTTTCCATCAGAGAACCTAGTATGGAGAATAGGTTGAGAGGGTAGCATTACCAAATGTGATGATGAAGACACTATAAAAACCAAAATGTGGCTGTGTTCATTTTTTATGTTACTAATACTAGGAGGGTTATTCACAAAGCTGCCGAAGGAAGCTTAGTGAATAACCCACCCGAGGTGAAGTGAGCCCAACGCTATTCGGCTATTCACTTCAGGCTTGTACAGCTGATTTCAGCCATACATCGGCTGAAATCAGCTGCACGTTGGCTTGCTCAGCATGTTCGACTAAGCCAAAGTGAAGGAGTTCGACTCAGCCGATCCAACATCTGGATCGGCTGAGCCGAACCTCCGGCAGGCTACTCGCTGCCGTTCGGTCTATTCTCATAGGGGACGGGCGGAAGTGAGTGAATAGCATTCGTACCACCTCCGTGGTAGCGAGCAGAATAGAACAACAGTGAAAAAAAGTAGAAAAAATGTTTAACAAATGTAAATAAATGATACATTTTAAAAAATAAAGATTTTTTTTTAAATGAAAAAATTAAACATTATTATAAAAAATAAAGATTCTTTTTAAAAAAAAGAAACAACTGTTTCCTATTGGCCGGGACCTGTTAGAGTCTTCCCGGCCAATGAATAACAACTGGGCGGAGCCGGCCGTGACGTCACGGCTGGCTCCGCCAAGTTGTCATTGTTTTATGACCTGGGGACACTGATCTGTCATTGCAACTAGGCGGAGCCAGCCGTGAGATCACAGATGGCTCCGCTCAGCTGTCAGTTGCGAGGCTTTTGGCCAGCCAATGGCCGGCCTTCCCCCTGCTTCGGGTTTCACTTCAGCTTAGTTGAGCCGAAGCATATGCCTTCGGCTCGGCCAGCTTCGGGAGCTGTACGGGCTATAGTGAATAGCCCATACAGCAGCCCTTCGAGCTCCGGCGGCCGAAGTATCAGCCAGAACTACGGCTGATCCTTCGGCTAGCTTTGTGAATAACCCTCTGTAATTAATTGTAAACATATTAAACTTGCATATTTTAGATGTTTGTCTATTAGAAGCTGTATGAAGCAGCAGGGGTACAAATAGGGGCATCAAAGCTGAGCTCTGGCTCCGAGGCTGCTAACTGCAATTTAAACGAATAGTAAGATCTCAAGAGACCACTTTGGCAGTACAGGCAATTGTACCAATCTGCTGCTAGATGTTGACCTGGACAGATAACTATTCTGCATTGACATGCCATTGTGGATTAGGGAGAATTACAGACATATTGGCGTGTAGTAAGAAATTGCTGTGTTTGTTGTATATAATGCATCACAGGTAGTAGCTGTTATTTCAAGAGCAAAATGCTAACAATTTAGAGGTGAAATACATAGTTCTTCAGTAATTAGGATAATGTACTTGTTTGACTCTTATAATCTCTTTTTGTGTACATATCTTAAACTTGTGCCTTTTTTCCCTTCTTCTGTGACATAGGTGCATGTCTATTCCAGTCACCATGAGAGCTATTCGCAGGAAAGCAGAGACCATTCAGGCTGACACACCAGCTTTGTCTCTTATTGCAGAGACTGTGGAAGACATGGTGAAAAAGAATCTGCCTCCAGCCAGTAGTCCAGGATATGGCATGACCACAGGTTCAAATGCTTTAAGTGGTATTACAACTCCAACCAGCTCGTATTCCTCGGGACCCATCCCTGCCCTATTTAACATGGGGGTCAAAGAACGACATGACTCTACTGGCCATGGTGAAGACTTTAGCAAAGTAACTCAAAATCCCATCCTAACCAGTCTTCTTCAGATCACAGGAAATGTGGGAGGAAATCTTGGTTCAAGTCCAACACCTCCGCATCTTACTCCACCACCTGTTTCCTCACCAGCAAGTAATACAAAGAACCATCCTATGCTTATGAACCTATTAAAGGAAAACCCAGCACAAGATTTCTCCACTTTGTATGGTAGTAGCCCTCTTGAAAGGCAAAATTCTTCTGGATCTCCTCGCACAGAACTAGGTCCATCTTGTACTGGAAAGCCAAAGAAAAAAAGGCTCCGGACAGGTGCCGAAAAGATGAAAAATCAGACTGAAGATGATTTCCAGAGGGAGCTTTTCTCTATGGATGTGGACTCACAAAACCCAATATTTGATGTAAGCATGACGGGTGATGCACTGGATACACCTCACATCACACCAGCACCTAGCCAATGTGGCACTCCACCAACAGTATATCAGCAGCCCATGACTCATACCCAGTCTGGTATGCAAAGAATGGTTCGGCTCCCAAGTACAGACACCATGATTCCAGATGTCACAGATATCCTGTCAGACATAGCAGAGGAAGCTTCAAAGCTTCCAGGGACTGGGGAAGATTGTCCTAACCTCGGCACTCCTGTCAGAGACTCCTCTAGCTCTGGACACTCTCAAAGCACTCTGTTTGACACAGATGTATTCCCAGTGGATGGTTCTGGTGGTGGAGATAATCCTTATGCAGATGCAGCTGATCTTATTGCGGAGGCCAACGGAAGCCCCAACAGTGACTCTTCTAATAATTTCTTCAACAGTGTGGACTTTAACCCAGAGTTATTGAACAGCCAGAGCGGTTTTACAGATGACTTCAATGAAGACAGCAGCCAGAGTGATGATCATGATTTTAAGGACTTTCCTGGCCAAGGGCTAGCATCACTGAGTGTAGTTTCAGGAATTCCTATTGATGGGAGTGAAGGCAAGTATAAGGTAGGGTCAGGAGCTGAAACAGTAGATTTCAGCATCATTGGAGGTGGTAAAGGACTAGGTGTGGTAGATATTCTTGAAGCACATAGTAGGAGCCAGAGCCCCTTACTTGGAGGAGAATTAACAAAAGATAGGCCACAAAAGCAGAGGACTAAAGAGGGAAGCAATGGGGGAGCGGGAAGTATGAGTGGAATTCAGGGATCAGGGTTAGATGCAAAATCTGGAAAACGCAGCAGAACACCCTCTAATGATGGTAAAAGCAAGGATAAGCCACCTAAACGCAAAAAAGTAGAGTCAGAAGGAAAATCACCTTCTCACATTGCCAGTCGACCTTTTACCCCTCCTACCAGTTCTGGAGGTTCAAAATCTCCAGGGACATCCGGAAGATCCCAGACTCCTCCTGGCATGGCCACTCCTCCCATACCCAAAATTACTATTCAGATTCCCAAAGGCACAATGAGTGTTGGCAAACCGTCTTCCCATAGTCAGTATTCAAGCAGTGGTTCAGGAAATTCTTCAGGTAGCAAAAGTCATCATAGCCACTCATCGTCCTCATCCTCTTCATCATCGGGAAAGATTAAGAACAGTAAGTCTGATGGGTCTTCTGGTATGAAAATAGGAGGAGGAGCAGGTGGAATGTACACTGGACAAACCGGATCCGGAAGCAGCCAGTCTAAAACTGGTTCTCAGTCCCTCGGAAAGCAAGGGTCTTCACCTATCACCAAGCATGGGCTAGGCAGTGGAACTAATAGTTCTGGAAGTAGCAAGAATAAACCACAAGGAAAACCATCTGTGCTAATGAACCCCTCGCTGTCCAAACCAAATATTTCCCCCTCACATTCTAGGCCTTCTGGGGGTTCTGACAAGTTGTCATCACCAATGAAACCAATGCCAACCACTCCACCTTCTTCCAAAGCCAAATCCCCGGTTGGCTCAGGCAGTTCTCATATGTCTAGTGGAAGTTCCAGTTCCACTATGAAATCCTCAGCAGGTCTTGTGTCTTCAGGATCTCTTTCACAGAAACCAAACTCATCATCTTCATCCTCTTCCTCTTCTTCCTCATCATCTTCATCCTCATCATCATCATCTTTTTCAGGTGGCTCCAATGTCTCTCAGAATCTCCATGGTAGTTCCAAAGGGAAGTCCCCTAGTAGAAATAAGAAACCTTCTCTTACAGCAGTCATAGACAAACTTAAACATGGGGTGGGAACTGGAGGCCCTGGTTCAGAGGATTCTATGGAGGGAGCTGGTGGGGGAGGCAACCCTGGAGCCCCCTGCCATGGAATGTCATCAAAACATGGACTTGTAGGAGGTGAATTTACAGCAAAACGGGAGAAGAGTGAAAAAGACAAATCAAAGGTTTCAGTCTCTGGAGGATCTTCTGATCCTTCCAAGAAAGGGGATTCTAAGGGGTCAGGGAGCACCGGTGTAGCTAAAATTATCATCAGCAAGCATGATGGAGGATCACCTAGCATCAAGTCAAAGGTTACTCTTCAGAAGCCAGGTGAAGGAAGTGGAGATAGCGTGAGATCACAAATGCCTAAGAGCTATGGCTCCCCTTTAATCAGTGGGTCAACCCCAAAGCATGAGCGCTGTTCTCCAAGCCACAACAAATCACCAGCATATACCCCACAAGCCCATGATAGTGAAAGTGAATCGGGGTCTTCCTCGATCGCTGAGAAATCTTATCAAAATAGTCCTAGCTCAGATGATGGAGGAGGCGGTAGCCGTACTCAACCAGAGTACAGTGCTGAAAAACACAAAAAACACAAGAAAGAGAAGAAGAGGCTAAAAGACAAGGATAGGGATCGAGAAAAGAAGAAGTCTTACAGCATGAAGCCAGAGAGCTGGTCAAAATCACCAGTTTCTTCTGACCCAACGCTGTCCATGGGCGGAGGCCCTCTGCTGTCTTCAGATAGAGCAGGACGACCCAGTCCAACTTACCTAATGGGTGAAGATGATGATTTAATGGATGTGGCTCTGCTAGGGAACTGAACATTGTATTATAATAGCAGGAATGGGTGTGCTGGCTATGCGTGTTATATGATATATATGTATGTCCTTTTCTTGCCTGTAGATATCTTGCAGTGAAATTTATAACTTGACTAATTCGGTGGTGACGAGGATTAGTCAACTATTTTATTTTGAATTACTCCATTTTAAATATGATACCTTATAAAATATATCACAGAGTCCAGACATGAAAATACATTTAACCACTTTGTATAGCATAAGGAGCTATTTACCTATTGAGTGCAGGGAAAAGAACCAGTTGACTAGCAACTGCTGACATCATCGGGGTGGAAACCCTTCAGCGATGTCACTAATTATTATTAAATTGATATTTAAGTATTGCTCCAATGGAAAAAATGGGTGCTCCATTGTGTTTAATTAGCAGATCCACTTTAAACCCTTCAGTATTTTTAAAATATATGCACCAATTTATGGTGCAGATGTGAAGTGTAACATTGTGAGAATGTGTCATATGAACGTCAGTATCTCTATTGATTTTAGATTGGAAAAGGTCTGCCGACACAGTACGTCTTGCTAAATACAAAAGACCTTTCTTCTAAATGGCTGCACGTTTCGCACCGACTAAAATTCAGCTGTGATTAAAATGCCTTATTTTTATAAACATCCCACTCACGCATTTGTATTCTTGTTTATTTGTAATTATTATATTTTAAGAAGTTTACATTTTATGTTCTGTACATACCCTTCCTTTCCTATGTGTAAATAATTCTGATTTTATTTTATTTTTTTGTCATTTTACTTAAGTGCTTTTTGAAAAGAGTTCAGGAAATGTTTGGTATGAAAAATAAAACCTTTGGTATTAAACTTGTTACAGTGAGATCTTATTTTTAAGCTGTACAGGTCCCCATAGAAGTTATTTGGCTGGTGATGTGATAGAAGGAATTTAAACAATGTCCTCAATTTGATTATGGTTCAGTAAACATAATTGTAGAAAGGGCTGTTTGATATTTTTTGGTAACTCGTACTGGTTTGTCATTTGTCTATTGCAGCATTATCATTTTAAACATGTTAAGTACAAAAATGTGGTATAGCCCAGAGCAACAAACAAAATCCTTTTTTGTATTCAGTAATCGGCTCTAGATAGCTGTTACCAGTGATTGGTTGCTTTTGGCAATACCTCCATATTACCAGTGTTTTTCCCGGCTCACTCTATGCTTATCAGCCATATCTTCAGAGTCAATAGAGCTTTTTGGTGGTTCCTAGATTTAGCACAAACTTGGTCTCTTCATGCTAAAGTGTTAGGTGATAGGCTTTGTAAGGTACTGTAGATCTTTATTATATTCCAGGGTTACACATAAGTAATTAGCCCCTAGGTATATATACATAGTGAACAAATACTGGCCAAACTTGAACTATGAATAGCGGTGATTGTTTTGTCATGCTCTGTACTAATTTAAGTAGTTGGAGTATTTAGTAGAGTTAGGGATTGGGTGCAGGTATCAACCTCAGAGCATTTGGCACGGGCTATACCAGTTTAGTAAAATTGAAAACAAATGTTCAGATCTAGAAAGGTAAAAATCCATCAACCAGTGTTATGTTAATGTTACCTGGTGCTTGAGAATGCCTTTTTAATGGTTTTTTTTTATTGTAGTATAGGTTTTTTAGGACTCTAGAACTAATGCCATAGGGGACCTGGCCTCTTCTCTGTAGATGTTGTTCTACCTGCTATTTTTTTTTGAGATTGCTATAGTTTCCACTAGGGTTACTATAAAAGTTCATCCACTGAAACTCGTTGTAGAAAAAAAGTAAAATTAGGCATGGCCTGATTCCAACTTCCTGCAATAAAGGTACTCTGACTTCAAACTGGTCTGATGTACCTGCTGGCACTTGCTACATGCATATCAGCATAGAAGCCCCAGTGACTTCCTTGGCTAATTGCTAGGTTCCGTGTTTATATACATTTAAATAATTATTTTAAAACATTTGTATTTTTTGTTTACCATTTACTTTTTAAGATATATTTATTACAGTATGTGTGTGTGTGTGTGTGCATGTGTGTGTGACATGAGAGTAAGGAGTGAATTGGAGTTTTTAATTCTGGAGCAGAATTAAAGAATGGCTGAACCCATAAAACATTGAGTATTGTTGTGTAATATACAATGTGACCCCCTTCACAAAAATGGATGGACGTGCCGACGTGTGTTTAATGATTTTGGCAAATAACCGCAGGAGTAGCCTCAATCAGTTTTTGCATACACAGTAATGTTTTTGCTGTGGATGTTTAAATCAAGCAGTATTCTATGCCATCAGTATGATAAGTACTAGTTCATAGGCAGCTCATGGGTACTATAGGCAACCAGGTTTTAGTCCAGGTATGAGGGGGCGAGCTTAGCTGTAGTCTTGGGTAGCAGGAAAGTTTGTTAGTGACTAGATCATTTTATTTAGTAATATGGTTGCCTTTTTTTTTTTTTTTTGGAAGTAAGCTGTATAATAATATATCCCCCATGTCTGTGTACTCCAGTAAAGAGAAACAGAAGACATTCACGAATGGAGAATCTGATGGTGTAATCAAAACGGAAGATGGCCTTTCTGGAAAGAGAGGAAGTTCGGGCGTTTGCCAGGAAAACCAGTAGTGCCTTTGGAGTCTGTGCAATGGATTGTGTCCACTCGCACCGATCCAGTGTAGCGTGCACACACCGGTGTTTCTTAACTCCTGCTCGACTGAGGAATGCAGTTTGGGATCAGAATTGACATTAAAACTTAAGCATATTACTCTTCTGGTGGAGTTAACACAAAAGCTGCTCAACTATAACTTCCTTGTTAACACTAACTCAACACTAAGTCATACCTTTCAACAACTTAGGAGTTTAATACATTCAAGCAAGCAAGGACGTATGCCTACAAAGCCTTGCCAAACTGTCTTTTTCTTTTGGACAAATGTATATTAGCCTTCAGTATATCACCTGGTTTGCTTCAAAAAAGAGCTAAGATTTGGGTCAAGATATCTTCAGAATAGCTAAATGAACATTAATAAGTTTAACAATGATGGAAATTAACGCAGAAATGCGTTTCTGATCCTGCTTGTGATGCAAGCAGTGTATATAATGAGCATATGGACTTTATGTAATCACCTCAAGAGCTTAGAAATAAGATATTTGTTGTGAATTTGGAATTTGGTGGCCCAAGTGCTTTTTATACAACCAAACACCTGGAGTGACAATCTGTTATTCGCTTAAAGACCAAGATGCAACAGAACTCTTGAAGCTATGAAAACAGTCATTGTGTAGACACGGTTTTAGTGCTAAAGGAGGAAAAAGCTGCCCAGCACATTCACTGACAGATTGATTTGAAAGTTATTTTACTGTTTCTCTAATGGAAAAATCAGTGGAGATTTTAGAACGGGCTCAAAAATGATTGCGTCTTAATCTTAAAGAAAAAGGTTAAGGACTGGAACTAAACTGCATCCTTGCCATACAACGTTTAACAGTCCACACTTGTGTACTCTAGTTGATGACTTATGATTGTACTTCTGTTAACAACACTATTGACCCAGTATTGTGCTGGAGTCCAAACATAGTATCGTACATGGCTGAAAAAGCCTAGTCTATCGAGTTCTATGAGGTTAATGTTTGAAAGTCTGGCCAGTCCAATAATAGCTTTTGACGCACCAGCTCTTCCAACAAAAGCCATAGTTGCCAGTTGTGCAGTCAAAGCATGGCTATACCTGTAGGTTGTGATTGCAGTGAAACTATGGCTGTCTGTTTGATTTTTTTTAAAGTAACCTACCTAACATTGTACTAAGGTCTGTGTGTGAATTATTTCATTGGTTATGTGGAACAAGGAGTAACCCTTTACCATCTTATTACCTAACACAAATTTTGGAAATAGGTCTCAAACGGACTCTAAAAATACTAAAACAAAATAGTTTGGCATTTGTAAATAGAGGATGACTGTTTATTGTCTTAGCTGTATAAATCTATCACTGAACTAATGTCAGAATTTTTGTATTTTTGCTGTAGTTTTATTTATTTAAAAATACATTGCCTGTAGTTTTTTTGGACAAGGAAATAAAACATTTAGAGAAATCTAGATACAACATTTTTATGTTCTGAGTATCTTAATATGCCCTCTTGAAATAAGGTGAATGCAAATTTTTATAGCTTCCCTGTAAATTCAGTCTTTTACTTTAGCACTGCTGGAAAATTTTGTTAAAAAATGGATTGGGCAGAAATGTACCCATGTTATAATTTTTCTATTTTTGGTTTTTATTTTAGGTTTTTTTTATGCTTTTATTTTTTTATCCTTTTCGTTTTTTGAAAATACAATTTAGACATTTTGCCGACATAAGACTCTGAAGAAAGCAATCAAACAATGAATATCATCTGAATTTGGGGGGCTTATAACCAATCTGTGTTCGGAAATGCGTTTGATTTGTATTTTTCATCCATCACAGTAAATACGGCCAAAGGTTTTGCTGGACCAGCAGTGGGAGTTGGGGAACCCTAATTATATACCTCTCTGATCTGTACCTTACCAACATCCTTATTTGTAAACATACAGAAGAAGGAAACTATAGTTAAGTGATTCAGTCATGAGTTCTGGTGGTGAACTCACAACTGAAGGTGAGCATGCCATGGTTGTGCAGGAATGAGGGATTTTCAAATATTTTGTCATTGTTTTGACGTATAATCTTTTATTGGGGTATAACCTGAATTTCCCTTTTACAGTAGCAATTTCACTGGAGCATTATCCCTTCATTGCATTAAAATGTAGCAAACTCTCATTTCTTGGCTCTGTTGCCCGTTCCCCGTTAACAAGGATTGCTAGCTAACTGCTTCCTGTACACTGGTTAATGAGAAGTGAACTGAATACCAAGTCTGTTACAGGATTCTACCCACTTTTGTGAGACTTCATCGTCTGTAATTATGTCATACACATTTCTCAGAACTAGACTACAGCTAAGGGTTAATGTGTAAGAAAATGGCAACACATGTGAAAATGTGCCCGTACACATTAGAAGGCAGCCAGCATGAGGACAAAACCATGCGCACGCCAGCTGTACCTGCTTGTTGGTGTAGCAAGGCACACAGCTGGGCACCTTTGGCAATCAGACAAATATATCTTCTCATGTCTGTAGGTACCTCACGATTAGCATTAGGGGGTCTGTGAAGAGTAAATGGGCAAAAGAAAGTAAA